AGAGGTTGAGGAAAAGACTGAATGATTAGATTTAGGTTTGGCTGATAGTGACAAAAAAAATAGACTGAACATATAAAGTTCAGGCAGCCACACAGAGGGAATATGGTGAACCACAGTGCCAGGGACCTGGGTCCCTTCTATCCTGTTTCTGAAGATTCTCAACATGGGGCTTCATGAACGCACAGGCACCCACGGCCCCTGCACCATAGTCAGCAGAGTGCAGAGAGGGCCGAAAGCACAGCCTGCCCCCAGCTTTCTGGAGCTACTTACCAGTGTCTTCTATTTCCAGAAACACATCATTTAACCATATCTCCTGGGAAAGGGGGCTGAAATCAGTCTTTATTCCCAGCAGCCAAGTGATCAGCTAAAATCTGGATGATGCATAGTTGAGAAGGAAGAAGGAACAAACATCGAGATATAATTTGACTCAAGAGGTCAAGAATGATTCTCATCCCACCCACTGGCAGATGTGAATGCAGGGGGAGAGGACAGCTTTACAGAGTTTTTAGGAAGCTATAAAAGAATGTTTTGTTTTGAACACATTTATTCTAAGTAGCCTATGAAATGCTCAAGGGAAGAAAACCAGTAGGCATTTGGAAATACAGGAGTTGCATCCTGTTATAGTTTCTATCTACAATGGCTCCCAGAGCATCATGAGTTTGGAAGGTGACTGGATTATGGGGACATTGCAGCAGGCTCGCTGTTAAGAAGTGGGGTCTACTTGGAACAGGTGGGTCACTAGGGGCTGGCCTGGAAGTTCTAGCTCCCTTCTGGGCTCTGCCTTTCTCTCTCCGGGCTACTCTTCTCTGCTGTGGCCCTCTGTCGAGCAACTACAAAGCTCTACAAACTTTGAGCTGAAATAAACCTCCCCCCCTTTAAGTTGTGGGTGCCAGGTGCTTTATCCCAGCAACCAGGAAAGCGACTTGAGACAGGTCCTTATTTCCCCTCATTAGGCCATGCTCCTTGAGGTTTGAGACTATCATGGTGCCCACATGCCTTCCACTGGTCTTCAGCTTGGCTGCAGGTACCAGGTGTGTGGGGGTGGGGGTGGGGGGATCTAGGGACCAGCTTTTTTTTTTTTTTAATACTAATGGTATCATATCATTTGGAGGAAAGGGGATGGATCTTGAGTCCATAATATTAAGTAAACTAAGCCAGACACTGAAAGTTAAATGCCACATAATTTCTCTCATATGAGAGATATATAAATTAATTAAAGAGTAAAACAAAATCATAGGAGGCAGATCTTTGGGAGATGAGGAAAGGGTCCAGGGGAAGGTTGGGTAGGTGGATAAAGGGATAGAAATAAACAAGAAATGACATATTTTTACCCATTCCCCAAAATGAATGTGATCCAAATATACACTAATAGAAAAAGGAAATACTAAAAAACACTAATGGGGATATTGCAGAACTCAGCCACTGCTAGAACTGGAAAAAGGCTTTCTCAGATAGCTTTGGACAGGAAGGCACCTTTGTATACAATTTCAAAACCCACTAACGTAAGTATACTGTAACTAATTTTACACCAATTACAAGGCAGAGGAAAACTTTCTAAAATGAGGTGTTACACTTTAGGTGTCTATGGTGGGAGGATGAGGGAGGGGGAATCCTAGTCCTACAGCAGAAATGCCCTCGTTAAGGTCACAGGACCAGGCAACAGTCAGGGTCACAACCTGACCACAGATGTTCCCCCTTCCAGGAGGAGGGGCTGCCATTGCTCCTGCCATTAACTCAGGCAGCCTGCCCAAGATGGTGAGGAAGCAGCCTCTAGGGCTGTTCCAGACATAGCCAAGGATCTAGATGATTCAATCCAGTTTTAAGAAAAGTGTTTTACAGCGAGTAATTAAGGAATTAAATTTAAAGAATTAATCACTAATGAGTCATTAACTCTGTCCACTGTTGTACAGTTAACAAGCTGAGGCCACGTGAATAGAGCCGGTCCCCAATTAAGGGGACGTCCTTGACACCTGCAGATCTCTGGAAGGGTCCGGAACACCGGCCTGGCTCTGCCGGGCCTGGCCTTTCTCAGGCGGATTTGAACCCAAAGGAACTGCAGCGTCTTATAATTCCTATCATCTCCCCTAAAAGTCCTTCCCGTCCTCTTGCTGGAAGCCTTGATTCCATTCTTTCGGACAGAAGCTGAAAAGGAGCGCTTGGAATGGGCCCAAGAGGAGGGATGGACCAAGCTAAAGTGGGTTAGGGGCCGGGGCAACGCTGTGGTGGGAAGGGACTGGAGGGCGGCAGGCCCCACGCTGCCTCCGCGGGCTCTCGGGCGCACCGGGAAGCCGGTCCGAGTCCTGCACCCCCACCGCGTTTGCCCGGGCTCCGGGGGTCTCCGCAGAGACTTGCACTTACCCGATTAGTGTGACAGGGAGAGGCACCTGCAATCCTACCCACCTTGCTGGATTCTGGATGAACTGGAGCGGGGGTGGGTGCTGGGCAGAAATCCTCCCTCCTAACATTAAATGTATCTTTAAAATAAATACGCGGGGGTGGCTCCAGGTCCTCCCAAGGGGTCTCTCCCTGCCCCTCATCATCCACAGTCCTTCCCAGACCTTCATGGGCAGGACTTGTTCCGAGAGCCCGGAAACTGACCGGGGACAGACAGCCCGGACCAGCCCGGGGCCGGGGAGCAGAACCCGAGCCCGGAGAGGGGGCCTCGGCAGACCCATGGCTCTGAAGACCCGCGACCAGGAGAGGAGAGTCCCGCGTCTGCTGGGAGAGGAACCGAGCAGCGAGTAACCCCAGCAGAGCCGATTTCTCCGGCGCACAGCGTGGACACTGCCCTCGAGTGCGGGGAGAGACCGCTGCGGAATGGGAAAAGGCCGAAGCCCGGTCGCGCCCCCCACGCTGGGCGGGGCCCGCTGCTCCAGTCCGAGGCTCGTCCCTGTGGCTCGCTGGGCGGTTCCTTCTCTCCGGACACCGCCCCCCTCCCGGAGCTGGCCAATCCGATGCGTCTTCCCCGCCCCGCCCCTGCATTTAGGGAGCCCTGCCCAGGGCCCGCCCAACTTCTTTCAGTGGAGCCGCAGGGAAACGGTTCCGCAGGCTCGCCGGCTGGCCGCGGCCGCGTCATCCTGGATGAGGGGTCTTCTAGGCCTTTCCCTTAGACTATCCGGAGCTCGGTGGGCCTGGGACAAGACTTGCCTCGATCTAGGCTCCCCTATTCCTGGGGCCGGCAGTAAATCTCCAATCCTTGGAGCTGCAGGACTGGACGGGGAGCGGTGTGTCTAAATCTCCCCGGGAGGCCCAGGGAAATATTCATAGGCAGTGCCCACACCTCGCAGTTCAATGCCCGGTATGGCCTGATGATTTCTTCTTAGGAATCAAGATAAAGAGAACCCAGGGCCTCTATTCAACTTTCTATATGTAGTTGGAGTCCCACTCCCTCCTCCTCTTCTTTAGTTTCATCTGAGAATGGATGCTTCTCTAAACCGTTTGGGCAAAAACAGCGAGCCTCACTCGGATTTCAAAGATAACTCCTTGGAAAATGATCACAAAATACTAAAAGCAAGCGATCATTGAAGGCTCGCTATGTGAGAGCGCTCTTCTAACAGGGTTGCCTTTGCTCAGTTAAGCCTACAAGCAGCCCGACTAGAAGATACAAATGGTCTCGTTTTATAAACTAGGAAACTGAGAGAGTTTGCCCCGGTTTACAAAAAGTGTGGGAGCCAGCCAGTTCATGCTCACAGTGCATGCTCAGGAAATATTGCTGTATGGGCTTTCCTTATTTCACTAAAACATAAAAGAAAGAAGCAGGGAGAAAATTAGCAGAGAGTAGACAGTTTAGAAATTATGGAAATGATCTCAGGGAAATGAGGAAGACCCTGATGGTGGGCAAGGTCACAGGAGCTGACCCTTGGTAAAGAGGAGGAGGGCCTGTGAATTTAGGAGATCCCAAAGCGATCATCCCTATTTAAAGTAGGGCATTAAAGGATGAAATAAAAGACAGCAGGGAGATCAAATTGGGAGAAATATGCATATATCCTCACCCTATGTTTTTCTTTTCTTGCGAAGAGCTAGGGTCACTTGGGGCACTCCATCTGTTTCCCCACGGAGAGTCTTGGAAGGGAAAGTGGAGGGATTATTTTCTACCTCTTAGGACAAATAACCTGTTCAATAAACCCTTACTGACCAGCCTATTCTGTGCAAGGCACCAGACGGAGGCCTTTAGGTACCCAGCTTTGGCTATGTGGTAGTCTCTCAGGACCGGAAGAACAAGGACTGAATCCGAAATACCAATCATCCTACTCCCAAATAAGTTTCAGGAACTGCAGAACACTCCGGGAGCATTGCCAAGGCGTCAGGATTATGTGTATGGCCTTTTGTCAGGTCCTTGGTAGTCTACACGCAACTTTAGGTGATCTTATCCCACCTTTCTCACCCATATCAGTCAGGGTCCATTTGGGAAAGGGGACTGAACGCTGACAGCCTTCCGGGTTAAGGCTTTGGCCACAAACTTCCGGGTGCACGCTCTGGGCGGGGGAGAGGCTGGTGCTCAGCTCCAGGGTCCGAGGCAAAAGCGGTCAGCAACAGTGGCCGTTCCGGCAGGAGTCCTTGACTTTCCTTCGCCAGGCCCTCCAGGAGACCTCAGGAGCGTCTGAAGCCACCTGAGACCCTCAGATTCCTTTTCTGTACCAAAGCCACCCCACCCCCACCCCGCAAATGCGGCGGCCCAGAGCCTAGGACACCCTGGAGCGCCGAAGGTAGCTGACGCGCGATTACCAGAATTTAGACTGCATACACCCGCCTGCACGAGCTAGGGGAAGGGTGAAACTCTGTCCCAGAATGGAGACCGCTCCGCTGTGGCAAAGTGTGCCCAGGATTTGCACCACGAGGGACGCCTCCCCTCCTCCAGCTCCCTCGCGATTCTCGTAATTCCCTTACCCACCCTGTCCATCACCGCACCCCAGAACCCCCACGTTTACTTCTGCTCAGCAGCCCTGAGGGCGCATAACCACAACCAAGTCCAAACAAGCAAATATTTAATTTTCCTTCAAAATACTTCGAACCTACTTAGACAGTTTCTCAAACTCTATTTTTCTGATTTCCTCTTCCCCGGGAATTGCAAAGGTCGGGAGCACGGGCCCCCTTGGGCCTGGAGGCGCCGGCGCCCGCAGGAATGGGGTCAGCGGGAGCCAGGCAGTCTCTTCCCCTCTGGAAGCAGGACTGAGGGTCCGTGGTGGAGGCCTGGGGTCCTCTCCGGGCTGAGGCTTGGCCTCGCCCCATGCATCTGGAGCAGATGCGTGGCCCGGCCCCCAGCCTGGTCGGTGGCGCGCAGGCGGGGCGCGGAGAGGGGCCGAGTGAGAGGTCCGGGGAGAGAGGTGCGGGCACGGTGAGCGCGGCTGGGTCGGCTCCCAGCACGCTCCCCAGGTCCCCTAGAGGGCCTGCCACGGCTTCCCGAAGGCCTGGATGTGCTCTTTGGCTTTCAGGCGCAGAGCCGCGATGCTGCTGTTGCGCGGGTCCGCCTCGTCCAGCGGAAACTTGTCCCCGAAGCCGGGGCCGCACGGGTAGGCAGGAGGCGGCGGCCCGAGCTGCTGCAGGCCGGGGCCCAGCGGAGGGGAGTTCAGGAAAGGCGGCGGCGGCGGCGGCGGCGTGTAGCTGGCGGGCAGGGTCTGCGCCGGCGGCCCGAAGCCCGGCAGGCTCTGCAGCGCCGTGGCGCCCCCGCCGGGTAACGGCGGCCCGAGCCAGGACTCCAGAGGCAGGGCGCCCCCGGGAGGCCCGCCGCCGCCGCCCGGGCCCGCCCCGAGGGGCGCCAGGGCGGCGGAGGGCGGGGAGCGGCTGAAGGAGAGGAGGGGCGAGTCCTGCAGCTTCATGGACGACACCTCCAGCTTCTCCTGGCGCCGCCACTTGGCCCGTCGGTTCTGGAACCACACCTGCGAGGGAAGCACAGCGGCCGTTGGGTTGCAACGGATGCTGGGGCTGTGTCCGGGTCCCTGCGCCGGGGAATTATAACCCGGGCCACACTATTCTGCAACTTCCAAAGGAGAGCAAATTTCCTTACTTTCACTCCCTCCGGCTCCCCTGGTCTCAGCCTTTCCATCCACCCCGTTTCTTTTCTTATCCATCCCCCTTTTCTCCCTTTTGTTTCTTCCCCCCTTTCTTGCCTCCTCTAGTCTTTTCGTCCCATCCTCTCCTCAGAGACATTCTTCTCCTTTCCTCTATTTCTCTCACCCTTGGGGCTGCTGTTGTTTCAAACTCCTGACAGGAGAAAGTGCTCAGGAAAAGAGTGAATTTAGCTCTACGATCAGACCAGCGGACCCTGAAACCAGAGACCAGCTTGTTGGCAGCCTCTCCTGACACTTCAGCCTTTGATTCCTTTCTCCATGGTACAAGTCTCAGTTGCTGCATTTTGGTCTCTGACTGTCTGTGTTACTTACCCTCTTTCTCTATCATAGACACAGGCATAAATACTGGCAACATCAGGTCAACCCCTGATACAATACAATACAATACAATACAATACAGCTATTTCCAGGAATTATTGGTAATAATAGCTAGGTAGAAACACATGGGTTTATTTTACCACGTGCATATTTCAATTGCTGCTCTAATAAGATGTTCATATTATTTAATTGATATCTGTTTAGCATTTATGATGTTGCCTATAAATTACTTTCAAAGATTACTATCCTTTGGGTTGTTATATTTACTTTTACTTTATGGAGTTAGTTTTGACATTATTCTCAGATGTTAGCTCAATGAGGACATAAGGGGATTTTCTTCTTCACTCAAAGTCCTTGCCAAGACTTTACTGGTTCTTCCAATGGACCTTCCCCTTCTGATTTGATAAAAGGACCAGAAAGGGTATAAGAAGCGTTTCATCATCAAGTTCCACTCTTACAAACAGAACAGAAGGAACTGGCTTATGTTAATTGAGAATATGAAAGAATTTTGGCAAATCTGGTGGCTTCCATGTTACATTTATGAAGGAATTGGGGGACGGATAGTTGCAATCCCAGAAGGAAGAAGTTAGTTTTGTGTCAGTAAGAGAAGTGGGGGCAATCCTGTAGGATAAGTGAGAAAATAGTAACTCAGCACCTTAGCAGAGCAAAACAAGTGTGTGAGGCTCCAATTTGGGAGAAAAAGTGAATAAAAATGTAAGTATTCCTGCTCCCTTCCCACAAAAAGTTTATCTGCAGAGCCAAGGCCCTGAGCCACCAGTATAGATATAGGTGTGTGCTCAGGGTAGGAAAGAAAGAAGACTTGGGTGAGGGCTCTCATCCCTCGTCCCTCAGGCTTTCTTGCCTTTCCCACTCCATCTCCAGCAGCCTCAACTCTGTCCCTCAGATCCAGAATCCAAGGCCTCAGCTGAAGCTGGAGAACATTGGCTGCTATACGTCTGTCTTGCTGCTCTCATGGGAGACCCCCCCACCTCATTGCCCCACAGCATAATGCTCGTGTGTTAAGAACCAATATATGCTGGGCACTGTGCTGGCCCTGGGGTCATTGAGCAGTCACAGGCACTGTTCTCGAGAATCTCACAATTTAGAAGAGAAGCCAAACCCCTAAACAAATAAAGAGGGATGATGGAAGGCAGCCCTAGCTAGGAAGGGATCCTGCCTCCTATAGGGCCAGGCAAGTCTTTGCCTCACCTCTTTCTTCATCTTTCCCTTGTATTTTTTCCTCTTCCTACCCTTCCTCCTTCCCTAGGAAGCAGGTGTTAAAGTTTCCCCTACTTCAATGAAATCATCGTAGCTTTACTGTTCTGAATTTGGAGACATGAACTGTTCTTGCTGGTTAATCCAGAGTCACACCAGAGAACTGTTTTTAAAAACCATGACTTTTACTCATTACTTTCAACCCTCAATCTAAGCAGAAGAGACAAAAGGCAAGAGCTTGCCCCATTTTACTTTTAAGTCACAGCTAAATGTGCCCCAACACCTGAGTATCCTTACTTTCTGGAAACCTAATTTATTAGACACACACAAAAATCCCATTTTAGTTCCACTGCCTTTCAGATGCACTGAAATTTGTTCCCAGTGTCTCCTTTTCAGTCCCCAGTAAAATTCTCCCAATTTGGAAATCCTCCCAGATTTTTCACAGATGACTAGCAAATATTTAAGGCTTTCAAATATTTTAATGATCAGGGATTAAAAATAATTCAGCTTTAATTAAAGTGAAAACCCCTTTACAATAAAAAGAAAAGGCCTCTGCACCGCGAAGTTTAGTTGGATGGGAACCAGGGAAGGAAAAGCTAGTTTCTTAAATAAATCCACAAAGAGTCTCAACTGCGAGGGCCCAAGCCCCTGGCCTTAGATTGGGCTTTCGTTTTCAGTACTGTGTGCAGAGCTAGTGATGAGATTAGTGTCTGGGTCCCCAGTCCAGTGACCCTCCAGCCCCTGTCTACGTGCCCTTTCTGCTCAGCACACCCCCACCCCATCCTGGCTGCATCTAATGAGCTGTCAGCCTCTCCAACAGGCAACTCATTCCCATTCCTCTCTTTTGGTTCAGAGGAGGGGGACCTTCAAGGGGGAGATCATACTATAAGCTCGCCCAGACTCTCCGAAGGGTGATGAGCGGGGAAAGTCTGTGACTCTCCTTTGGGGCTATGCTTGTGTCAAACCCGGAAAGTGCCGGCCGCTTTACCTGCACCCGGACCTCGGGTAGGTTGACTTTGCCGGCCAGCTCCTCGCGGCTGTACACGTCGGGGTAGTGGGACTTCTCGAACGCGCGCTCCAGCTCGTGCAGCTGGTACGTGGTGAAAGTCGTGCGGTTCCGCCGGTGCTTCTTCTTCGGCTGCTCCTCCTCCGACAGTTTAGCGTCGCCGGTAGCTGGCCCGACCGGGAGCCCTGGGTTCGGACGTGCCTCTCCGTGCTCCTTGGGGCAATAGGGACGAGAGGCTGGGGCGACAAGGCCCCACGCGTCAGAGATACCGGGCCTATTCTGTCACCCTGCAGTCCCTGGCCAGCTAAGACTTGGCCTCTGGAGGTCAGGGATGGAAGCTGTAAGGTGCCCCCGAGCTTGCTCTGAACACGTTGGAAGCTCCCACCCTAGACGGTGTCCCCAAACCCTTTGCCCAGTTGCCTTAGTAAAAGTTAAGGAAAGGGAGCTCTCCTCTTACGGGGCATCCCAAGGGCCTCGCAGCAGCGGGGAGCGCGCACTCACCTTCGTACTCCGGGATGGGCGCTGGGGCTGGCGGGGGCGAGGGCTCCTCGCCTTCCCCGGGGGACTTGGGGCAGGCAGGCCGCGCACTCAGCCTTCTCTCTCGCTCCTTCGCGCCCTTGGAGCCCCGCTCCGCCGGGAAGGTGCCAAGGATCCCGTTGTCCTTAGTAAACCCCAGGATGGCCTCGATGCTGTGCAGCCTCGATGTGCTCCCACCTGGGCTGCGGAGCAAGTGGCCAGAGAGCGAGAAGCTCCCCTCGGCCATGGCAGGCGCGCAGCCGGGCAGGTGCATGGGGAGCGGCAGGAGGTGGGCGGGCGCTTTGGAGCTAGAAGCGGCTCAAAGCCAGCTCTCCCAAGTGTACGTCAAGGTAGTCGGACTTCTGGAACACGCGCAACTGGACAGGTTCTACCCCAGGTCAAGCTCCGTGGGCAGCCCCACCAGGCTGCGTGCGCTGGAGATGAGCGAGCGCTGGGCCCAAGCCACTTGGTTCCTGCAGGAGGTTAAGTTCGGCCGGCCGAGGAGCTGAGGCTCCGGCGCTGCAGGCTTGGGGCCCTCGGGTACAGGGCTCCTCCCCTCTCAACCGGGACCCATCCCCTTTTCTAGGCTCCTCCCCACTCAGAGGGGGCGGGTCTTCCTCCCGCCCAGCCTCGGGGTCCTAGTCCAGCAGCCCGGAGGCTGGCACTCGGGACATCCCACTTGTCAGCTCTTGATCCGCTTTAAAGCCTACATCCTCGGGACTAGCTGTGGGATGTCTTTGCCGGGGTCTCTAATGGCCAGGCCTGCATTCCCCCTCCCACCCCCAGGTCCTGCCTCAGTGGGGCCGACATCCTTCGGTCATCCCTCCACTCCCTCGGGCTCGCTTCCCCCCTCCCACTCACCTCCGCGTGCCCAGAGCCGCTCGGAAGCGGGGCACCCGGTCGAAGGCCGTCCAGCTCCTTCCCAGCTTTCCACTTGGAAGTCAGTCACTGTCCTCCCGGTTTGGACTCCCTCCTCTCTTCTCCTCTTTCCCACCCCCACAGGCACCCTTCTCTGGTCTCCCCGCGGCCCCGAAGTCCTAGACATCGGGTTTCTTTTGTCTGTCTAAATCTGTTTTAACTTCTCCCTGTACCCTCGGACGTGTGCGCAGGCAGCCTCCGTCAGTCCAGTGCGACCCCCCGGAGGCGGAGGGGCCATCTGTGCCTCTGGTCTAAGTGACCTCAAGTGCTGCGGTCTGCAACGCTGCGGACTCGGGCCCTGCCTCCCGCGGACTGTCCTCCTGGAAGGACAGGTCCTTTACAGCTCTGGAAGACGTCTCCTACCTCTTCCCCAAACACTTCCCCAGGCCGAGGAGGTGACCCCAAGCGGGAAGACCTTCGCTGGGCAAGAGGCCTCACACTTCCCCGCGGGTTACCGCGTAATCCGCTTGGTTTCTCCCCCGAAGGGGCCCCCTGAGGCTTCCTTGACCCAGAGACTCAAAGGCTGAGCAGAAAGATGATTTGCGAGGGCACGCGCATTTCTCACATCCCGTGGTGACAATGGACTATAGCACTGTGACCATTGCACTCCTCAAATCCGAGCAAGATCTGAAGAGAGCGCCCCGGCCTCCAGTTTACTATGCGCTGTGAATATAAATTAAAACCCTTTCTGTAAGAAACCTGAGGACAAGGAAACCCACAGTCTCAAATTCTTCTTTTGATAGGTGCTCCGATCAATTGCTCTCCTCTGAAGTGGCCTCTTTCTATCCTTGCTTTTCGTTTCTTCCTGTCTACCTTCAGTCTAGGGTTACCCCATCCTTTCTGCTTGCCCAGCAGCACCCCAAAAAGGAAAAACCAATGCGCTGGCCTCGAGGAGATGGCCGTCCAGTCTGTGAGACAAGACAAAAGAATAAATAAGGGAAAACACACCTCCTCAGATGGGGGATTGGGGGCAGGTTCATTACACTAACAGCTCTTTTTAAAGAAAGTTATTAGAAGATAAACTAAAATTGCAAACATGAGTGTGCAGTGGATTGAAAATGAGTTACTCAGGTCAAAATATTTAACTAGAAGAAAAAGCTAAGTTAATAGAAATTAATCACACTGTGCAGTGTTCAGGAAGCTTTACAACCTTTCTATCATCTGATCCTCAGAGCTTTGTCAAGTGAGCATGGATCTGTTGGTTTCCATTTGCTAGAAGTGAAGGAGTCAGGACCAGAACTCAGACCAGCTGCTTCCTCATCCAGTGTTTCTGGCTGCAGCTCAATAGTAATTGCTATTGTGGAGTGTGATGCTTTTGAAAAGAATCAGAGCACATCTTAGCCTGCAGTCTCTCATAGTCCTTCCCTGAGGGGCCCCTGCTTTCTGCATCTAAGAGGTGAGGCAGTGCAGCTCTCCAATGAGGAGTCCCTGGAGAGTGGCCTCTGGGTCTGTGGTCTGGGGAGACTTACAAACCTGTAGGAGGCTCCCCAAAGACCAGGTGAAACCTGCTTCCCAGGGCTGTTCTGAGTGCTGTCCAGGGCACCGCCCCTGCAAATGGCCTGGGGGCACCCCAGGAAGGCTTTAATGCCAGTTGCTTGGAGCCTGTGGCTTAAAGGGCTAAGGTGACCAGAGGCAGCTGGAGGGATAATTAATTGATATTTGTTGTTTCCCCTCTGAGAATGCTTTTTATGTAAATTTCCCCAATATTAAATTGATCTCTATAATCATTGCTAAAAGAAGATTGGCAGCATTGTCTTAAGCTCCTGCCCACACACTGCTAAGGAGTTTATGGCCTTGTTTTTCAAAGTTAATTCCCTCTGGAACTGCCCAGCTCTCTCCCTAATAGGTCCAGGTGAGGTGAGCTTTTATTTACTGTTTATTTCAGGGTCTCGGGAGAAAAGTAGAAAAGACTTCAACAGCCACTGTCGAGGCCCAGCCAAGCAGAGGGGAACAGGGGGAGCTTTTGTGCAGTATATAAAGACCCAGTCAAAACCTTTGTGGGCACAGTGGAGGGTACTCCAAGCAATCAGCCGGGGGTCATTGTTAGAGGGCTAATCTACATGTGTATTTCCCAAGAACTCCATTAGGGAAGATGAATGGACTGGGCCATGTCCCTAATTCTTCTAACTCCAATCTGCATTTTTCCAGCAGTTACGCCAGTTCATAATCAGCCCTGATTCAGCCAAGTAGGAAGCCTGGCTTCTGAACTCTACCTCTGTTTAATTCATTAATTCATTAGACGGATCAAAGAAAACTCCCTCCTCCCAGCCCCCCCCCCCCCGCCAACAGCTAACTTTGCACAGGTAGAGCCTCATTAAACTTGGCATAGTAAGAGACACACATTTCCAGAAGGGCAGAAGTACTATAATGTGGTTCTGTTACCTCAGATTATGCAGAATGTCCAATTTCTGGAAGTATTCTAGATGTACTGCTTCCTCCACCACACTCTTAGGAGAAATGGACATCTGTAGAGTGGATTCCTTAGGCCTCAGGTCAGGAAGGAGGGAGCTGCCAATGAATCAACGCTATTTGGCCACAGTCTCTAGTAATGTCACTTCTTAGCAGTTTTGTTTCAGTGAAAATATCTACATAAGGGCCTATGAGATGTCACTTCATAGAATGTGTAAAACAACTTGATCATCTGCATAAAGATTATCCCTTTGGTAGATGGGTTTTAATCCAGGAACATCCCTACTTGTGTCATATCACACTGGAGAACCACCTCCTCCTCCTCCTACCTGGTACGTGTTCAGAGAAGGTAGCTTAACTTTAGTTTTAGCCAAAGCAAAACACAACGCATACAATCTATATCTATATATCTTGGTTCATATATATATGAACATGCTAAAGTTCAACAGATTCAACTGAAGACTTAAATATATGGTAAGTGCTATGATTATTGAATACTAGCAGTTGTACACAATACTCTTTTGAATTCTTTTTTTTTTTTTTTTGGTTCTGGGGATTGAACTCAGGACCTTGTGCTTTCAAGGCAGGCAGCAGCACCACTGAGCTAAAACTGGGGCCCTCTTTTGAATTCTTTACATGGATTATCTAATTTAGTCCTTATAATAATCCTATGAGCTAATCACTATTATTACCCACTTGCCTGAGGAAGAAATAGAGACATAGACAGGGTAACTCACTTGTCATGCTGCCGATTTCAGTTGGAGCCAGGCCTTGAAGCTAGAGGTTTTATTCAGTTTTGCACTGATCTAGCTACCGATGATCTAGCACCACTTCCCAATGTGGTTCATGTACATACATGTGCCTGTTAATTTTTCAGTAGCTGTAAAAGAACTAGTAGATAAAGAAAGAAAATTTGAGAGGAGGCTTCCAGGTAGGCGTGCCACAGCTCCTAGCAATGAGGAGGTGAGCTGCATGGGCACCAGGAACACACACCCACCATACCTCTGTACATCAAAATGAGAAGACAGGTAAACAACCCACAGAGCCAGACTTCCAGATCACCTACAGCAACTCCAAAGGGAAACAAGATGGAATAGTCTGATACTCAACCACCTGGACTCGCTGAACTAGCAACAAAAGAGGACCTGGAAAAAATGAAATCAGAAATAATTTCTCACATAACAGCAAAGACTGTGCCCATAGTTCAAGACATGATTAATAATAATTATTATTAATAATAATAATGATGATTAATAGAGAGGATACAGATAAAAAAATAGAGGAGCTGAGGAACATGATGGAATCTCAACATAGGAAACAAATGGAATCCATAAAACAGATACAAACAGATTTTCAGGAGATTAAAAACTCCACTGAAAGTCTACACAGCAGAATGAGCCAATGTGAAGACAGAATTTCAGATATAGAAGATAAGATTGCAATTAGTGAC